CCCCAAAACCCCAAAACCCCAAAACCCCAAAACCCCGTCCTTCGATTTGTTTATTGAAATTAAGGAGATATTTATTCTCTTATAAGAGTTTCCGACCTCTTGGAGCTACTCAAATTTCTTTAACTCTTAGTGTTTCTTTCTTCTACTAAAAATTCCTCAGAACAAGCCAAATGATACCGAGTTTATTGAACTTTTTGCTTCTTTCTTCTTAAATTCAACTTTTCACCAGGTCCTTCCAATCTGGAATACATTATTTGCTGAATCCTTGTTGTCTAGAGTTTGTGGGATTGTCATAAGTTGCTGTGTTCCATATCTCGATTTATAGTCTTTCAGCAAAATTCAATTGGGATCCTCGAATGCGATAACTGCATGAAATCTTGAAGCTGAAGCATCATCTAATATGTATTCTCACTCAGAAGATTTTCCTATTTTATATTCTTGCAAATTTTTAATTCTGAATATGTAAAAAGATTTCTTTGTGATTTCGCTAGATACTTCAGGAGCAAACTTTTCAAATACAAAGTATGGCTCGTCAGGCTTTTCATAATTTAGAATGCTCTTTGTTTTACCATTAAATTCAATGCTAGTAGGATAAGGGGCTTTGCAAAGCTCTCAGGATGTTGAACTCCAATTATATAATTCAGAATTTTCATTGAGTATTTCATGAGTCATCTGGGCCTCCATCCAAGACCGGAGACACTCAGTGTGTAAGAATCCTTGAGTACCTTTACAGTTTCATAGGTTCATCAAAGGATCATGAGGTTTTGATTCGCTGCTCAATCAAAATCTTCAAGGAATCAGAGTATCTTGTTCATCTTCAATTCTTAAGCTAATATGATCTCTCTCAACGATAATTTCTTCTTCAAGGCTTTTAAAGCTATCTAGTTTACTTCACTGGTTCTTACTCTTTAGCATATCCTTGGTAGTTTGAATATCTACCAGCTTCATTTTAAGTCTTCCTAATTTAATAATGTCTCCTTGTTTGATCTTCAATCCTCTTGAGCGAATATGATCATCTCTTCATGATCGGTTCCAATTAACACTCTTGGTTACTCTCCATAGATCTTTTGATGAGTTCTCCACTTCTACTAACTCGAGGATCTCTTTTAAATTTTCAATATCTTTTCATTCTCCAAATAGTTTATAAAGCTCAGGATGAGATTCTTGCAAGCTTTTAATCGAATCTAAGTATTTAAGAATCACCAACAACTGATTGAAACTGTAAATATTTAAGCCATTTCGTCTTAAAAGTATTCAGAACAAGAAGTTGAATTGGACATCACCAACATCACCTTGTTCTATGAGAAGGTTCTTCATATCCAGAGCTTCAGGAATTGTATCAAACGCCTTAATATCATTCCCAATCTGAGCGAAAACTTGAGAAATTGGCTTAGCAACCACTTCATTTTGTTTAATCTTTTTGTCTCTATAGTCTAGAAGGCCATATAGAGTGTTAGCCTTTAACTCGCTGTTTTCCCAGGTATGGAAAACAAGCTTCAAATACTTGCTTCAAGGCTTTAAAGCATGCTTCTTTGGGGAATGGTTAGTGGATTGATTCATTTTTAATTAATGCGTCCCTTTTCTCAGTATAAATTCTTAGTTTGGGGTTTTGGGGTTTTGGGGTTTTGGGGTTTTGGGG